TGGATTATTTTCTGAATTGTTAAAGTTGCAGAAAGATTAATAATATATTCTATTAAAATATAGATAAAATGAAAATTAAGAATTTGTATATGAATTTTTAAAGTTTTTATTCGAATTTTATAAGAGCAAACTATATGACTATATACATATGGTTAAATTTTGTAAAATAATAAAATAAATGATATATTATTTTTTATAAATAACGAAGTTATTGTCTTTTCAATTTATTGGTTTTATATTTGATTAATATATAATACAAATAACAATTATAATTAATATAGACTAATAATTATTATTATCTATTAATTAAAAAAACAAAAAAATAAGAGAGAGAAAGAGAGGAGAGACATAAGAGAGAGAAAAACTCAAAATTTCAGAGCATTTAATGTTATTAATAGGTATTCTTTGACTTTTTTAATAGGTGAGGGTGCAAATAACAACCCCCTTAATAAAAGTCTAAAAAAACCGAATCCACTTTATTTAATGGGAGGATTCAATGACTTAATCATTCCAAACAATAAAGTTCACTGATTTTTTTTAGACTTTTCTCTTATTTGATCTAAATTGATCTTTATATTTGCTAACTTAGCTACACGTCCAATAACAATAATATAATGTATAATATATAATCAATTATAATAAAATATAAGGAAAAAATCAGTTGTTTTTTATCAAGTATGATAATAATAAGTTAGTTTTTCATTTTATTTGTAATTTAATAAAAGAAATTATATAGTAATCAAATATTTTTGAGAGATTGTTTGTTTACCTCTTAATAGTTCCATTAAGAGACGGTCTCTGAATCGTTAAAAGATGAATCTTGTTTGGCAAAAAAAAAATCTGTCTCTTAATGGTTCTAAAACCCTCTAAATGATTTTGTATCATGCGTCTTCATTAACCATTAAGCGCCCTAATTTCATTGTAAACAATTAACAAACAATTATATTACATTTTGCTCTATATCATGAGAACCTCTTAATCATTTTGACCACTTAATCATTTTGTACCAAACCATTCAGCAACTGTCAAACAACCTCTTAGTAATAACGAAATTGATTTACAGAACTAACGGTTGGATAACAAAAAAAATCAACATGAAAGAATTAAAAATTTTGTACCATTTTCAAGTCAAAAAACAGTACACATCAAAATTGATGTTTTTTGTAACAAAGTCGTGGCTAAAATGACCAACGTCATGTTGGTATGTGGCTTTGAAAATGATCTAACGACAAAAAACATCAATTTTGATGTGTACTATTTTGACTTGAAAATGGTACAAATTTTTAATTCTTTCATGTTGAGTCAATTGTTGTATCGATATAATGTTTTATTTTTTATTTTATTTTTTTGCAATGGGTATGACATTTTTGGTTCTCATTAATTGTGACTTTATGACGTTTAGTGTAGTTGAATACAGACAGTTGTATGTTTTTGGTTTTTGTTTTAACTGTTACTAGTGTCCGACACCGCGTGTTATGTAGTAAATCAAAACTCAATTTAAGAAAAAATGTAAAAGAGTCGACCATGTGGAAGTGTGATGTGTCTTAAAACTTGGGATCGTTTTTATATTTATAACGTCTCATCCAACACCGTAAATCAAGATTTGGAGAATACTAACATCAGATGAAAGCACTCAATAAATCAATACTTTCATACATATAAGTGATATAATATATACTTAAATTAAATTTGTTATTATAAGTACTGCAGTAATCATAATTCTTGTTAAGAAAAAAAATGTATCATTTTCATTTGTTTTGCACAATTTTTTTTACCAATTGTTTGATTTTGATTTCAACCATGGTTATAGATTTCAAAGCTCCATCACATTACATGCATCATCTTCTTCCAAACCATCATTTTCTACCAATGTGAGATGATGGAAGTCAACCTCATTTTTTATTTGAGTAACACTCAAACCTCATGCTGCCAAGTCATCATCTTTGATTTCACTTTTATATTTGCACTATAGTTTTTACCATTTGGTTGGTTTTGATTCCAACCATGATTATAGATGTCAAATAGGGTCATCCAAAATAAGACAACCCTATGAAACAAACCATATGATTTAACACAAAGACATTCAATCCACCTTTTTTATACAATTCACTTTGTTCAAATCTTTAAACTATTCACCGATGTGAGACAACTAAAATTCAACCACAATTCACTATTTGAAAATACTCAATTTTCATGGTGTCAGCTCAATATCCCAAAGTTTTTCTTTTTTATATATAAAAATTATAAAAAAAATTGTTTATAAGAAAAAGAAATAGGGATTGAAGACCGAACCCCACAGCTTGAGGCGGAAAGGAGGGTTATGATGTGGTATTATTATGGGATGTGGGGATGACCGTTTCAATGCCGTTTACTGAAAAATGGGGCTCCATTTTCGACTTTATTTCTGGTGGGTCACCATCTGGGTTGTTTTTTTTTTCTATTTTGTTTTTTCTAGAAGTTAGGGGCCTAGAAATGATGTCGGTGGGGCTCATATAAATTTAGATCAAATTATAGGGACGAAAAATCGATTGATTTCGTTATAATCGGATTGGATTGGATTGGATCTAAATTGAATTGGTCTGTTCTTAGATGACATTTTAAAAATTAATAAAACTAAACTGATTCAATCCGATTAATAACTTTATATAGTTATTAATAGTCATATGTAGTGTTTTTTTAATAACTAAAGAAAATATATGAATAATTAATTGAAACGGTGTATTGAAAGTGTAGTTAAAAAGTATAGTATGGTAGGTATCGAGGCATTAATAGCTTTTGTTTTGTAATTATTGTATCAAAATCAAAACCCTTAATTTCCCTCCGACCCACCAACTTCTCACACTCTCTCTCCTTCCCATCTGATACTTAGGGGTTGTTTGGCGGTTACTGAATGGTTTCGTATAGGATGATTAAGTGGTCGGAATGGTTAAGAGGCTCTCATGATATAGTGCAAAATGAAATATTATTGTTTGGTAATTGTTTAAGATGAAATTGGGGTTCTTAATGGTTAAGAGAGGTCCATGATACAAAATCATTCAGAGAGTTTTAGAACCATTAAGATGAGCACTTTTTTTTGCCAAATAAGATTCATTTATTAACAGTTTAGAGATTGTCTCTTGATGAAACTATTAAGAGGTAAACAAACAACCATTTATATTCTTGTTTGTCCTCCTTATATTTTTAAAATGAAAAGGATGTATTCGAGAAATCTCAAATGAAAATGAGTATGATTTAATCATGTAAGAGACTAAAGATCTTACATCGGTTGGAGGGGAACGAATAGGCTGTTTGGTTGCTTTTTCATTAAGTCATCGGTTGGAAGGGGAACGAATAGGTTGTTTGGTTGTTTTTTCATTAAGTCATATATAGGAATGGAGTCATAAATTTACTTTCAAATATAAATGGCAAAAATAATGATATTATATGCATGATCTTCAGATCTTTAAACAATCAATAATGACGTCGTCGAGTTTTTGTGTTTTTTAAACCTATCTATGAATATTAAGATTGTAATCTAAAATCTTTTTGCGTAGATGATGGTTTCTACAAGACTTTGCTTATAACTATCAACATCGTTCTTTTCTGGCATAGATGATGATTCATTGGGTTTTTTTTTTCTTTTGATCAAAAATTTGTCCATGACGGTTGAATTGAACTAAAATTTAGTATAAAACAACTGGACTAACAGTTGCTATTGACAAAAATTTGTTCATGACGGTTGAATTTAACTAAAATTTGAGTGATCCAATTACATATTTTAAAGTGTATTGTTAAAAAATATATCAAAAAGAAAATCTTTTTACGGTCGGACCGATTTGGGCCTGCCCTGGACCGAGACCAGATACCCTAACTGGCTACAACGAACCTTGACCGTGCCTAAACGTTTTCGACGGGACCAGGACTAGTCTAGAAGGACACTATTTCGGTCTCGGACCAATTTTTGGCCATGTCTAAATGATGTAACTGAGTGGGTCAAATCCAAGTAGGTAGTTTTTAAGGAGGCCCAGTACATTAATTAGACGATCAAAAACCCAGCCTAGGCCCCTTCTGGCGCCTTAGTGGCTTTGGCCAACTTTCATATATGGATAAAGCTATTTATGTGTACTAATTTATCTGTATAAATTGAGAATGTTTTTGTTTAGAAGAGTTTTCTCATATATGGAAAGAGCGTGTTTTTTAATTGGGTGAGACATGCTTAGAAAAAACTTGGTTTTTTGCATAAAACTCCTCCAAAAAGCTTATTGAATAAGCCACATTCTCAATCATTAAGTCACTACCAAACGTATAACTGATTGGATAAGTTATGAGTCCTATTAAGTTTATTAAGCTGATAACAAATAGTATTTAAGGGATTGGATACATACTCTATTGGATTTTATTTTTTTCTAAACCATGAGTTTAAGTGTGAACAAAACAAATAATGTCTAGTCCGGTTTACCTAAGATGATACAAATCATGTATTTGGTTATTAAACCAAAAATGGTGTTTCCAGGATGGATGAGTAACACGTAAGAACTTGTCGCTGGAATGGGAATGATGCAGCGCATGATTACCGAACAGAAGATTAATCATGTTGATTTTGTGAATGTCTATGAATAATCTTTTTTAAAGCTCGCTAAAAATGTCTTTTATTGATCAAACTAACCAACCACCGTACATAACCAAGAAGTAAATTAGAGACCCAAAGAAAGGTCCCTAAAAAAGATGATGCCTCAAACATAAAATCCCAAACAGAAAATGAAAAATATAGCAAAAAACACAAAGTGGACTTCAAACACGTTTAAACGACGTTTTTTGGCCTCGAAAAATCCCTTGTCATCGGCCTGAACCGGAGACCCGTAGCAAAAGTTATGTCCGTTTAAGTGCAACACCCCCTGTTTGCCCAATTAGGTACTTCCATGCTCACATGGTAGGGTAGGTGATAAACGCTCGTAGGTAGGTAAGCGTTTGGTAAACGGCCCTTTACAAGTTTTAGTGAAAAAATTTAAACAAAATGAGCATGAAAGAAGAAAGACCAGTCTGTATGCATAGAAAAGGTTTAAGAACTGAATGTCAACACAACCAGCAACATGACAGGCAGCCATGTCTTTATAGATCCAAAATTCATCTTCTTTCACTCTCTCTACCTTCTAATGCAAATTCTCCTCCTTTATCTTTTTACGATCTTCGATTATGAAATCGTTTTGTGCGATATTCGGAAAGCGAGAAGCTCATTGAAGGCGAAACTCGCAAACAAGAATGTCAAACTGTTAACTAGTTTGGTGTGCCATTTGGAGGGAATACCTTCTGAATGAACTCGAGAAACCGTTCCGAGTAAAAAGTGGGGTCCACGGCCGATATGGACAGAGAATCGAATTGAAATGATTTATATTTATGTTCAATCTTCTTTTGTATATTGTACTCTTGCAATATGTCGATGATGCCCAGGTATAATACGACATCGTATACCTCGTGAAACATTTGTTTTTCTTCTTCACCTGGAAGAAGCTCTGCTCTTGCTGGCATGTTCACCCCAAGCTGTATCTGTAACCTGCCAATAAAATTCGTGTTATTTCTCACTCTTCACCTGCTTTTCAACTCATTATCACACACTTGCCACAAGCCGGGGATTATTCACAGAAAGAGTCGCGCTACTGTTAGGGGAAGAGGTAGAGATGCAAAAAAAAAAAACCCAAACTCAAAAAAGCCTGTCCCTTCGGGTTGTTTGGTTGATTTTTCATCAAGTCCTGTATTTATGAAGTTATGGATTGACATATATTAGGAAAGTTTTTGTTGGGAGGGGGCTTTTCATAGATGGAAGGAGCATGTTTTCAATTGGGCAGACAAGTTTTGAAAAAACTTGGCTTTCTGCATAAATAGAAGCTAACTGAATAAGCCACTTTCTATATTATTAAGCCACTAAAAGATAGTCATGTATTGCTTACCGAAGAAGCCTCGAGTTCCATTAAGCTGCTAACAAACTGAAGGCCAGGTTAAGCCCAGCCTGAAAAAGCTCAATCGGACCTTCTTTCAACCCCAAGCCTGGCCCGAATAACCCTCTTTTTATTTGCTTACTGAAAACGGGCTTGGGAGGCCCACTCCCAAGCCCAAAAAACCAGGGCCTTGTGTTAGGTTTGTGTACATCTTATCCTAATACCCTCCCAAGATCCCAACTCCGTGTAGGATATACCGGGTATGTTTGACTCGGTTTGGTTTTTGTCATAGTTGATTAAAAACGACGATAATACAATTAGCAAAGAAATCGAAAGGCATATATAGAACATGGACGCCATAATGGTTAATCTTCTTTAATTAATGCTTTTGCATTAAAAAAAACACATCTAAGTTACTCATGGTGTGAAGCGGAATAACCGTGCATATGAAGCTCGACAAAATGGAGTCACCAGCTCACCTAAATACATTTTTTTTAACAGTGAGTTTGAGCTAATTTATGATACCTGGCTGTGCCGGGAAGAAGGAGATCCACTTCCACATCACCAGTAGCTGATGATCGCAGTCTGCTTCCCCGTATATGTGGGCCCACAACCACGGTACCATCTTCAGATCCACGCGGGACCAAAACAAGTCCTTGGGGTGATATCTCATCCTCCATGGATTCTGTGATTGAAAACCATCAGGAAAAGTTAGAAATTGCTATCACCCATATGAGAACACGGGAACCCCTTTAGATTACTCTCCTAAAGAGCCCTTGAGGAGAGAAATGGTCTAAGTCTAGCCGATGTGGGAATCTGACACGCCCCCGCCAACAAAGGCTAGACGGACTAGACAGGTGAGGTGCTAGATGAGTACAAATTACCTCAGAGTGGTAGACTTTGGCTCTAATACCATGTGAGAATATGCAGAAACCCAGATTACTTTACAAAAGAACCCTCGAGGAGAGAATAGAGATTCCAACATATATTAAGGAGAAATGGTCCTACTCTAGCCGATGTGGGACTCTAACAGAGAACAAGCAGGAATTTGACAGTTCCTGTTGGTATGGACATGGTGTCTGTTTTAACATTCAGACATGTGAAATGTCGAATTGAAGGAAATTGTAAAATGATGTTCAAGGAACTTTAGCATCCATCTAAAGGAATGAAATATGAAACAGTATGAAGCACACCTTCTTCTGCAACAATTCCCAATCCATCTGTTGTTACGCTTTGGTTGTAAGACATCAAAGATTTCAAGTGCTGAGGGGCTCGGTAATGAACACCAAGTAAAAGGCTGTAATCCATAATATTCTGAGCTTCCAAAAAGTTACTATCGATTTCAATCTGTCTGCATACAGAGACAAATATAGTCATGTGGTCTTAAGTGGAAACAATTTACATAAAACCGAAGCTTGGTGCATAAGAAAGGTCAAAAGTTCTTTTCTAGGAATGTGCTGATTGATTTTATGACAGGAAGAAAAATTTGAACTTCTTTATAAAATCCCATTTTGGATGTGAGAATATGTCGAACCCCGTTAGAATATTCTTCAAAAGTGCCCTTGAAGGTCTACGGAAGCATAGATATACATGAAAATGCAGATAACTATGAATGCCTAGAAGAATTTCCAACTACAGATGGAACCTTCTCATGTTACAGTGATACAAGTTTATTAGAGAAGAATTTAAATAAGTAGAAGCAGTACTTACTTCAGCAGAGCACCACGCCAAGAAGGTTCTAGATAAAAGCAATAGTTTAGATCAAGATCTTTGAGTATTGTGTTCTCGTCTATTTCAACCTTGTCTGCAGAACGCCCGAGGGAAGAACCTTTTAAGTCATATCTTCTATGGATCCTTAATTCTGTGCAGAACATATTTCCCATCACTACAAAGCGGAACTGAGATGATCATAACAATATATTAGGAAAGTTGGGACAAAAAATGACACGATCTGATGCTTTCTTGAAAGTTTCTATGTTGATAAAAATTATAAAGGGAAGCACACACATTTCATTTGTGATACTGTATGCAAACAAGAAAGAAAAATGATACCGGATGAGGTGGAACATAACATGCCCAGTCAATAAATAAGCAATAGATGATATGTTGAATTCACAAAATTTATTTCAAGGTGTCATTTACTCTTTTGCTCACCAGATCTTATTATTTGGTACCATTATATACAAAGGTTCTTCATCAATGATTTTACAACATAATGTTACCTTTTGGCCACTTGATGGTTTTATCCTGTGGAGACCGAAAAATTTAGTTATCAGTGTGTTATCATACGTCCGCACGTGACGGTGATAGTCCGGAAGCATTCGCAGAAGGACCTGCACACTAACACAAGTAAGTGGAACCATAGAAATAGCTAACGGAAACAGCAGAATTCAGTCATCAGAAAATTCTATAACCTTGTATGACCAGGCAGTCAAATAATTGAGCATAAAATGAAAACAATCTACTTGGTGTACGATGTTCTTGAGGAACATCAGAAGTAAAAAAAATTAGATATAAAAGAAGGAAAGCAACAGATATTTGAGAAAGCACATAGAAAGCAGTCATGAAAATATGAGACTGTAAGATCCAATTCATGTGGCATACCTGTACTTCAGATTTCCTTAATGTCTTTATCATGAACCGATCATCTTGAGACAGGAAAAAGACACTACCACTTTTCCCAGGAGAAGAAAGTTCTCTTAGTGCATCATTGCCACAAATAGACATCATGTAGTCAGCAGCATCAATCTTAAACATCTCTCTCAAGTTCCTAGTGTAATAAGAAAAGAATAATCCATTTCAGAAGCTAAAACATTAATCCTGTTACTGGATACGAATGAAGCTTCTGTAATGCCATCAAATGCGCCATAATTTATATGAATAAAGCCGGGTTAGGGTTGGGAACTCAGACACTCTATCTAGTCAAGGTTAGTCTAACTGAAAATCTTGAAGAAAGAAGAAAGAAGAAAGAGCACCTTTTCAAGCTTAAATCTTTTGAGCACCTACCATTGAGAGATTTTAAAAATAGAGAACTTTCTTCAGCGGCACAGTTCAGGGATAAAATTTACCACCACATTCAGAGTATTGAACAGGCTTTTTATCTCCACAGAACATGTGTGGTAAAAGAAGTGGTTGCAGAGAAAAACTAACAGCCAGATGGTTCTAGTTTTAATATTTCTTAGCTTAATTCGATATGTCTCTTGTGAGACAGTGCATTTCAACTAGTGACAAGAGGTTACAAGGGCTTCCTTAAAATAGATTAATGATCAATTTACAGTCATTCAACTGTCAAGCAAAGAAGGCATAAATGTTCTTATAGCTTCGTGTTCCTCTTTTTTGCACTTGCTTTATATGATTTTAAAATTTTGATTTACCTTTTTCCAATATCAAATGTTTTGCTTTCTTTAGAGTTAGAAGCATTATTAGACAAATCCCATCTGCTAAAATTTGCAGAAACTTTGGATGCACTCTCAACTTCCCTGCAAATTGCCTTTCTGTATGGAGATAGAGAGAACCTTCTAACAAGCAAAATGCGCATAGTAACACTGGTTTTTTTGCAGTATGAAAAGAATCTTCTAAATGTGTGATTGGTTAGACAACGCATGGTTGGTAAACAAGCGTCAGTTTTTTTTTTGCAATGTACGAATGTATCGACAAATATTCAATAAGATTCCATAAGATCTAGTTTCATTCAAGGGATTCTAGCCAATTGAAAGGATCTATAGATCAATCAGGAATCATTTTGATTCCATTAGTAATGAGCATTTGGAATATCATTGATCAATCAAAGAGATATTCACCAACCAAAAGAAAGATCGATTCTTTAGCTTGGTTAAAGAAATTGGTATTTTGGAATTTGTAAATGATTAAAAAAACTGACGCCGCTAAATGGTTCTTCAAACATATATTAACATGATATAGATTTGAACAACTAACATAAATGGGGCTAATGAATAGAGACTTGAATACAAAAGGCCTCCACATTAAAAAGATGCTGGCAACCAACCTGAAAACCATTGGACAGTAATCCTTCCACTTAAAATCCTCCGACTGATGAGTAGGTGTCAGTTGAGACCCTTCTTTAGGAAAGTTCATCCAGAAGCTAGCTCGAGGGCCAAAATCTGCCGTCCGTACTTCTCGCTTTTGAACTGGTGTTATTTTCCCCACAGTATACCTGATCATATCTCAATTAAACTTCCAAGGGTATGCTGTATTGATCTAAAAAAACAGATGTGAAATATGATAAAATTTTATGAGCATAGTATTGTACATATGCATGTAGGTGTGAGTGTGCAGTTTTATTGAAGCAGTTGACACAACAGTGTAATGAAAAAGACTGATTGGTAATATATGATACAGTAATTATAACTAATAGGAGATAATGATCATTTCAATTAATATGTACCTGATGCCAAGCTGTAAACTGAGCATTAAATCATAACTCCTATGACCCTTAATAATTGCTTCCCCTGGCCTCTTAACATCCTTCACTAGTTTCCTCTGTCTCCTCATTTCTCTTTTAGAACCCGGTGAAAAACTACTATCTACCACAAGCTCACTGATTAAAATCCCCTGCATATATTCTCTTTCGAGAATTGGAGTCTTAGTATCATCCTCCCCACTATGTAAACCAGAATCAGACATATATGATGCCAAATCATGTCCCATGACTTTTTCAATAGCAACCTCTAGACTCCATCGTCTTTCTAAGGAAACATTGTTGTTACGAGACTCCAGATTCAAAAAGTTTTCTTTTGAAAACTTGTCAGATGAGTTACGATGAGATGATCGGCTACCACCAACCTTGAAGTTTCCCATATCAATGGAAGAAGCATGCTGAATACGTGAAACTTGATTAACTTTCTGCAGGTCTGACAACAACCCTCTTTTTCTCAAAGCCTTAAGGTATAGTTCTTGTCTTGCTGGGAGTCTACAGCCATTTGGATAAAAGGCCCCTTTTCCATCCTTTAAACCCCATGTCCATGTTCCGACATAGCGCCCACCATCACTCCATGTATAAGCTCCAAAACCATGCATAACTCCATTGGACCAGCTCCCTTCATAAGAGTCGCCATTAGTCCAAGTAAAGACCCCTTTCCCTGACATTTTCCCTCCTTTCATATTACCCAAGTACTCATTTCCATTAGCCCATGTATACTTACCTGGCCCATCTGGGGAACCCTGAATCCAAGATCCTTCAAAGATGTCTCCATTAGGAAAAGCTTGATAGCCTAACCCATGTTTCCGGCTCAAACGCCAACGACCTTTATAGACTAGTTTATCAGATCGAATGTATGTTCCTGTACCCTGCATATACCCACCTGAAAACTCTCCTTCATAATTAGCCCCAGAAGGCCAATGAAGTTTTCCAGAGCCATGCCACATTCCCCGTCTCCATTCTCCCTCATACTTGCAACCACTTGACCAAACGTACTTTCCTGAACCCTCAGGTACATTTCCAAGCAGAGAACCAGAGTAAAATTCCCCATTTGGGAGTTTGAGCTCTCCATATCTGAAGGCAACAGATTCAGTAGAAGAACGAGCAGTCTCTCCGTTTGTCAAAGCATGGTTGTTGTCACTGTTGTGAAATGATACAGAATCAAGAGATCTTGTCCTACTTGAAATAGATAGTGATCGTTCGCCGTTGTCCGCAATGGCCACAGGGCCAGACATGCATAATGTCAAAAGGATTCAGTACCTTCAATAATGGTATGTGCCCTAGACCTTCTGAGTTGTAAGAAAGGGTCTTAGCACATACTCAGTTATGCTGACAAAATACCAGAAGTTTACTCTTGCAACCTATTCATGATAGAGAGATGGCACAAGACACAATGTTAAGAACTTATTATATACAAAAGCAACCTATTCATGATAGAGAGATGGCACAAAACACAATGTTAAGAACTTATTATATACAAAAGATACACAATTATATGATGACAATATTGTACAACAGAAAAAATATAAAAGAGCATAGAAAGAATCTGAAGAAATCATAAATGAACATGACACAGCAATAAAAGAAGGCCTTCGGTTGATGGTGGTCATGATGATAGGTGTAGCTGCTGAACGTGTAACACAAAAAAGAACTACAAGGCAGAGCATGAAGGGGTTGTAAGAATAATGAACGATAAAACTCTCCCCGTAATCTAAATCTATTCGCTCTGATATTGATATGTTGGGCTAAACTTTTGAATAATCAATAAAATAAATTGTAAATGACTGTTTCAGGAAAAGGAAGGCTGATTGCAATTTCAAATCTTCCAGGACAAGTGTTTTCATCTAGACATGTAGCAGCATTATAGATTGATCATTCCTCTAACCGCAGAAGATGTTTTGTAGGAAATGAAATCCAGAATTCCAGATAACAGAGCTATCTAAAAACAAAGCCTGTCGATGAATTTTTTGTTCAAATTGCTTTACAGGGGCGAATATAGCATAGAGATAGAGAGAGGAAGAGAATAGCCGGACAGCGGTGGCCACTGAAGGGGGGGATTTTTGCCTACATATAACAAAACCGCGGTTTGGGTGTGTCTTCTGTGTATCTAGCTCCCAAATCTTCCATTTCCGCCGATGAAAAGCTATGCTGGAAATGACTGAAAGCAATTAGCAAAACCTAACCCAAATACTTCAACCACACATACATACATAAATATACACTCTCATAATCATAAATTTCAACATGGAGCAAATTCAGATTCATCTTCAAACTAAACAACTCCAATCCAAATTCGAGTCTCGAATTCCACGCTACGAAACATTGCCTTACTTTTCCCATCAACTCTCATCAAAAGTCAACTAATCAACCAAATATATTTGACCACAACTCCATTCAAGCTCTTACCAGATAATATCAAATATCTCCTAATCTACCACCGTCATTGAGCTCTCATCAGAACAATATCATCACAGATACATCGATCATAAACAATATACATATATACAACATATATGTATAGTTGTAGAGAGAGAAAGTGTACCTGAAAACAGTAGAGAGAGAGAGAGAGAGAGAGAGAGAGGGATTTATATGGAGTATTGATAGATTCCTTACTGAAACCAAAAGTGTAACGTACTGCAGTTGACTTATATATGGATTGAATTCGAAGTCGAGTGCCTGGAAATATACCTTACTAACGTTAGTTTCTGACTACCTTTTAAAGCCACCCCTTTTTTTCCCAATTATCTTTTTTTTAATTACTCCATTTATTATTTTTGTTAAAATTTTAAAATTTAGCATTTTTTTATTTTTTTAAATAAAATATAATCTTTATATCTATAACATTGCAAGTGTATCAGATATTGTCTTATTTCTTCATTCATAGACTCACGATTTTAAAACGAGTTTGATAAAAAAGTATTGAGTCCCTTGGAGCATCTCCAACAGTTTCTTCAAAATGAAGAAAATGGGGATTTTAAGCCAATATTTTGCTCTAACAAGTTTTCAAAAAGTATATGTAAGATGGAGAAAGTAGGAGAGATAATAGTTTTTTTCTCCAAACATGGAGTTAACCCCAAAACTTGATTATCAAGTGTGACGAACAATAGGGAATTTTAAAAATAAATATTTAAAAAGAGAAATAATATTTTAATAAATAAATAAAATATTTTAATATTATAATCAATGTTAGGTTCTTTAAAATGAAGAATCTGTTAGAAATAAATGTAATTTTTTTTAGAGATTTTGACTTTTGTTTCTCTATTTTAAAAAAAATTTAACGAATCTGGTAAAGATAACATTCTTTCCATTTCCAATTGGGCATGGGATCTCATAATATCCATCATAACTCATATACATTTTCAGCTTTGATTAAACTTGAATCCTATATCTCATTCTCAAGAAAAGTTGGTTTAATGTTGAGATTCATTTAATATATTTATGTAATAAATGAACTCTATGCGAAATTATATAATGATTTCAAACTTTAACATTTTTTAAATTAAGGGGTTGTTTATCAAACATTTACTGGTATGAGGCATCACTTTTACTTATCTTACCGTGTAACATCATCGGTCATCAAACTAACTTGTTAGTAAGCATCTAAAATCAGACAGTGCTTATGAGTTACTGGGTAAGATTTTTTTCCTCACTTATCTTATTGTGTAACATCATCGATGATGTTCAACTGGTAAAATAAATGGTATTGGTAATTACACTTTACCTGGTAAGGGTTTATTAAACTGTTCATCGCATTTGTACAACCAATGCAATCATATGTATTGAGATATTTATGGAAATAGTGAGAGTTTATTTATTATGATTTGAATATTTATGGAAGATGAATATCGTTCATTAATTATGATCGATATTTTATATTAGAAAACAATAAAAACTTCTATTAAATCACATATTAATCAAATGAAATGGACGGTTGAGATTGGATTGTAATTATTGCACAAATGTCAAGAGTTGTATAATAACCAATATATATATATAAATTAAAATCATTTATTATTATATTTAAAAATAAATCTAATAAATTTAATTATTGGTAAACAAACTAGTCCTTATTTTTTTTGTTGGGGTGCGAATAGGGAGGCGAATTCAAGTCCAAATCAAGAGACAACTTGCATTGATATAATCAATTTAGCTTCGAAATTAATTAATGTAATTATTTTTTAATATTTGTTTGACTCTTGTGTTTTTCAATAAATCATTCCTTCATTTATATCATGTTTCTATCATCTTTTCTTTTTTAATTTTTTTTTATCTTTATAAGAAATTTCTTAAAATCTCATATAATAATTTCCTTCAATGATTACTAATATAAATGTGGGTATAAAGCCATGAACTAATATTATGGATTTTGGTGGGATAAGAAATTGGATTCCGTTTTTAATATCATATCTGATATAAAAGAAAGAAAGTAGATGTTTAACAAATGCGTATTGACAAGAGCCATCTCCTTCATTTACCTTATTGATAACATTTTCGGTCGTCCAAATTGATTGTTGGTAAGTACATTTTATCCGGTAAATGTTTATCGAGTAAGACTATTTTCAATCACTTATCGGGCAAAATTCTATGTCCTTATGTCGCCTCTTACCGTATAAGATTATTGGTCTTGTCATGTTTATACGATAAAGTAAGTGACATTTCGTAAAAGACTTGTCCGGTAAGTGTTTGGTAAACGGTCTCTAAGTCCAGAATTCAAATCTTGAGATTTCAATGAAATCCCAAAACACAAATGTTGGATTAAGAAATCACATGGAGGTAGTTGGTATTTCACGAGATCTTATAAACACTTTAATATTTTCTTAAAATATGTTGAAAACATTTGTTTTATAATAATCAATTAATAAAAGATAATTTAATAACTTTTATGATCTTTTATTGTTTGTTTTTATAAACTATACACAGAGAATGATATATAATTCAATTTCAAATTCTACGAACCAAACACATCAAAAATTCAAAATCTTTTCACTAAATCGAAATCTCTTAAAAGTATTCCATCAAACCAAACGGGTTTTTAGTTTTTAATTTCAACCGTTTTATTATAAAATTTATTGTACATTGTATGTTATTAAGAATGCAAAATCATTATTTTATAAAGTTTGAAAGTAAATTAATAATATCATAAATCATAAATTATGCTACATTGCATCATGTACTTCATAACCAATAGACATAAAATAGTGGTGTTTACCAACTTTAGGTTATGTCAAGTTCATTTTTATATGATTTAAAATATAATTGTTTTAAAACGTCATAATTTATTTTGGACGGCCCGGTTGTCGTTTATAGTTGCGGATCTTTTCATGGTTTATATATTATTATAAATTACGATACATTCTGGAAAAATCAAACTTTCCCGTGACCCCTGAATGCCAAAGACGTCCTTCCCTACTCCCATCGAGATATATAACTGACGAATCCTAAGGCAAAGGCAAATCTCTTATGATACATCAGATCCGGCTCAGTAAAATTTGTCTAATAACTAATCGAGTTTGTTTAAGCTATCATGTTATTATTTTGATTGAAAAAATATATGTTTATGGATCGACATATTACCACTAAAATAACATATTGATTTGACAACTTCATATTCAAGTCATAAACGTTACAAGATCAAACTTATCCAATCAAAACTAATAAGAAAAATACAAAAAGAATTAACTTTATTACATCAGTTAATAAATAAAATTTTGTTACCTAAATGAATATTAGGGGTCGTTTACTAAATGTTTATTGGGTAAGTGTTTATCGACATCAGTTACGTTATTAGATGAGTTTGATGAAGACCAAAGATTTTACCTAGTAAGAGACATGACAAGAACCGAGAATTCTACCGATAGATAAGTGAGAAAAAGACTATTACCCGCTAATTGATGTATTATTTTATTTATAAAAACAACACATGAAATTGCAGTATTTTATACAGTATTGTTTCATATATGAAACGCTCAGTGCTATTTTTCCTCATATTAGACGAATCTTAATATTTTACATATGAAACAATATTGTATAAATATTGCATTTTCACATATGGGTTTAGTAAATTTGTACAATTTAATAGGGTTGTAAATGATTGATTCATATATATGTGTGTATGAGGTTTCAAATACAAACTATATAAACCAATCAATTGAGATATTTATAAAAATGATGAAAGTTCATTTATTGTGATCGAGATATTTATGAAAGATAGTTAGAGTTTATTAATTATGATCATCGCTTTTTATTAGAAAATAATCTATATATTTATGAAACTACGTATTCATTTGATTAGAATAACAATCGAGTTTGGTTTGTATAGCTTTAACAATGTGTTAATTTGTATAATAAACCACCTCTCTCTTTCTCTTTCTCTTTCTCTTTCTCTTTCTTATGTATATATAAAAAGAGGGGGGGGGGGGAGGAAGTAAGAATCAAACGAAAACATAATTAAAATAAAATAACACGAGAACGATCGAATCACATGTGATTTTGCACTTAAATCGCATGCAACTATGAAACATAGTCAACGCAAGGGTGTATATGCAACTTAGCCCGCGACCTACATCGCATTTAATCACATGTGATTTTACACATGAATTTAGTGTAAAATCACATGTGAATTAAACATTCTAGTGTTCTTTTATTCTATCATTATCCTTATTTTAACCTAACTCCCCCTTTATATATATATATATATATATATATATATATATATATATATATATATATGCACAATCAAACCTTCAAAAACTACTATTCATGACAATTGAAAACAATAGCAATAAAACATATATGTTATGTTATGTTATATAGATATCTTGTCCTGTTACTTATATCTATCCATTCTTTATTCAGATAACCGACGTATTTTTTATTCGAAATCAAAATTTTATGGCAGAACGACGAAACCTTTCCTTATAAGTATGTTCGCTAAATAGCATACTACAATGAAAAAAACGCGTTGTTAAAGAGATTGTTATACAAAATCAAGATCGTGACATAACTTAGTATCAAACCCGAAAATTAAACTGATTTCAAAAGCTAATCAGTTCTAGAATAAATTCTTTCGAATAAAACTAGTTGTTTTAATGATTATACAATATGATTTAGGGGGTGTTTGGAATTGCTTATAAAAACAACTTATTGACTTATTTCGGTGTGGTACCGGTAATAAACACTTCTGAATGTTTGGATAAACAACTTATACCAATGCCAAACCGGTAGTAAGGAGTTTTTGAAGAAGTTAAACTCTTCTGACTTATAATAAGTTGATAAATATTTTTATAAAAAAATATAAGTTATTTCAAATAAGCAATACGAGACACCAAATTTAAGTTTTAAAAACAACCATATTAATATGAGTATATTGTATTCAAAGGAATCTAGTATTCTCACTTATCATAAATATCTTCACATTTTAAATATTATCTTGACAATTTCATATTTTATTGTTTTTAAAAAAAATTATTATAGTACAAAAGGCAGGTAATATTTAATTGTTTTATTTTAAAGTAAATTAATACAAATAGTTTGTTGAAAATAAATAAA